CGGTTGGACACAGCCCCCAGACAAAGGAAATGGGACCCACACAAAGCTGTGGGGGAGGGGCCCCGGCCACCAGGTCCCCGAGGCCCTTGGGAGATGAGGTCAGCACGGGGAGGACAAGGAGGACCCTTGTCCTCCGACGCGGTGGCCTGCAGTGCCAGGCATCTGCGGAGTTCAGGTGAGGGGTGGCCACCCAGGCACTTCATCACGTGGGCTTTTCATCGCCAGAACCCAGATTCAGATTCTCAGAGGATAGGCACTGAGCCCATGGAATCAATACCCGCCATGTCCAGAGGAGTGGGGTGCAGACCCCCACGTCCAAGATGGAGCAGAGCCTCCTGAAGGCTCACTGATGGGGCGCAGCCTCCCCAGAGGCCCAGGTCATGGGGTACAGCCTCCCCAGATGTCTGGTTGATGGGGTGCAGCCTCTCAGGATGAAGAAGCACAGACAGCCCGAATGAAAGGTGACTGGCACACACAAGCTAAGATACAGAGAATGGGCACAGGGCATCCCAGACCGCAGAGAGCTGTGGCAAGCTGAGTTCCCCCATTCCCATCCATCCCGCGCCCCAGCCCCGAGGAACGTAGACGTGGAGGGAGGCCGGGGTCAGAGCGGCGGGCAGGGCGAACACGCACTCGCCCAGCACATTTCTGTGCGTGCCAGTGACTCCTGGCTCCCCAGAGCCTTGTGTTCCAACCTCAAACATTCCCCAGGCGACCTCAGAGGAAGCTTCCCCATCCAGGAGCCCCACCAGGGTCTCCATGGGGCTGCTGGCTGCCAAGCCGCTGTCTCGAGGCCTCCGGGCTGGCCTCGGGCTCCAGTTCTGTTTGGTTTTCTCCTTCCTGCCCTGGAACCTCAGACGCCCGTCTGGCCGTGAAGGCGCCCATATTCTGGAGAAGGTACAAAGACCCTACACAGCCAGAGGCAGAGAATCTCGCTCGGGGCACGTAGCTCAGCTGTGCCCTGGGGCCGGCATCCAGCCACCCTGCTTGCCTAAAAGCCCCGCTGGGCAGCCTGCGGCCCCTCTCATCCCAGACTGGCCAGACTAGGAGACAGACCCGTGCCCTGTGCAAACACCAGAAGGACGTGCACATCCGCACACACCCAGGGCTGCGTGTGACCGGAGGGGCCCAACACGCGCATGCGTGGCCCACACGTGCCCCTGCTGGGGCCCAAAAGCATCCTTGGAGCCCGGGCTATGTCCCCCATACGTGCTGCCTGACCACCCACCGGCCCAGCCTGCTGAGGCAGGTTTTCCCGTTAAGCATTAACCAGCAGTGATAAGGGCTCTGGGAAATGTCCTGGCCTGGGAGGGCCACTCCAAGGTGGGCCCAGCTCATGGACCTGACTCGACTGGCCGGACGAGATTAACCAGCCAGAGCAGAGGAGGGAGCTCAGGCTACAGGCCTTGCTTGGGGGTCCAACTGAAGCAAGGGACACTGAGGTTAGACTGGAGTGAGGACTTCCGGCCGCTCGCTCAGGGGCCAGAGGCTGAGGGGGTCCTTCATTAGGAAACCAAGAACTCAAGAGACTGGGCCAGCCCAGCAGGAGACAAAGGCACGGAGGGGAGTGTCCTGAAGGTGCCTGGGCCTGGAGGTCGAGGCAGGCGCAGAGCCAAGCAGGCCCACCCGGTCCTCTGCAAGCCCCTGTCCCACACTGCCCCGGGCAGCCCCCGCCCGGCCACTGTCCTCCTCACACTTGTCCTCCGACCCACAGCACCTGAGCGTGCTCTCTTCCAAGCCAGGCGGCCCTGTGCCTCGGGACCCCTCCCCCGTGTCAGGACCTGCCCAAACCAGGTTCAACCAGTCCCCCTCCTGCTGCCCCTCACCAAGGCCAGCCCTCTCGGGCCCGTCACCCCCTCCAGCTGGCTCCAAGCCAGCAAAGCTGGGCAGGACTCAAGGTGCCCCCAGCCCCAAGAGACCCTTGGAAATAGGCTGGAGCCCAGATGCTCAGCCCCTGGGCCTCGGAGAGACCTTCCTCCCAAAGGGAGTTTCCCAGCTCTCACGGGCCAGCAGTTCCGGCCACGAGGTGGGGCTCCTGCAGCTGTGGCCCCCGCACCCCTCCTCCCCAAGGAGAGCCTTCCGTCACCAGAGGCAGTGCTGCCTGAGAGCTGGACCGGCCTCCGGGTGCCCAGGGTCTGAGAGGAAGGCCTGGTGGCTGTCTGGGTCCGGGGAAGCAGGGGCGTCAGGTGAGTGCGTTTATACCTGGGGGCTGCCAGCCCCGGCACGTGGGGAAGTCTTGTTTTTCAGAGGAAGGACCCACAGAAAGGTGCTCCTATGGAAGCCAAAAACATTTCACTTGCACGCACCATGGAGGGAGTCATTATTAGCAAGCCGAAAACAAGTGCCCGGCCTTGGGCTGACAAGAAGTCTAAAGGAGGGGGCTCACCCACGTTCTGCCTGGTTGGGGCTGGGGGTCCCAATGGGGAGGGAACACAGGGTGGAATTCAGTACAAGGCGTCATGGCAGGTCTGGGGGTCCTGGGGTGACCAGGGAAGGCTCCCTGGAAGAGGTGGGCTCATGCAGGCCTTGGAGGGCGAGCGGGATGGGGATGCAGCTGAAGGAGCAGAGTAGCCACCTTTGTGGGGAGAGTGAAGCTGGTTCCAGAGCCCTAAGGAGCCTCCCGGAGCGCGTGGCCGGGGGCGGAGGGTGAGGGTGGCCAGGGAGGTGGGACCATCTCCTTTCCTGGGAAAACATGACGCAAACCCGCAGAGGAGGTTTTCCCAGCGTGGCCACAGGAGATGGACACCCAAAGCTAGACAACGGGGAGAGCGGCCCGGGAGGATCAGGGAGGGAGGACGGGGGGGTTCCGGGGTGGGGGCCGGGAGGCCCAAGAGCCCCCAGCACCTAAGGGTCTCCAGGCCCCATCCCCAGGAGCCGCGCTGGAGTCCGGGTCCCAAGGGGCAGACGGCGCCATCTGGTGGCCATGCGCTCACTGCACCTGCACCTCCTCGTGGTCCCGGCGGTCCAGAGGGACCCTGCACCTTCCCAGGCCTCAGGACAACCCCCAGCGCCAACAGCCAGCTCCCCCAGGGTCCTGGGGTTCTCTGGAGCAGCTTCTGGGTGGCTCCTGTGCTCCTCTGGGGACAAGATCACCAGGCTGGCCCAGGAGTCCTGCTGGCCTGCAGCAGCAAATCACTGCAGGGATGCTCTCCCCGCTCACCCAGACTGTTCCTAGACTAAAGGAGGGGGCATGCAGCAAAGCGGGCACGCAGGGGAGGGGCGCACGCACAAACACGCACACATGCCTGCACGCACAGGTCGAGATTCTGTATTGGAGACTCATCCTGAATCTCAACCATGAAAATCTCTAGTGAAGCGACTTTAATCTCAGCATGCATACAGTCTTCGGCATTTCAGGAGAAGTTGACTTTCAACTCCACATGGGGAGGAGACAGTGGCCTGTTTGAATCTGGCCTGCACAGTCCTGCTCCAGGGACCCTGTGGACCCAGCTCCTGCCATCAGCTGCTAGTAGGGCACTCCACCAGCCACATCTTCGACGCCCGACCCACCTGGGAGTGTCCCCCAGGGCTGAGGGGCTGTGGAGGCCTGTGAGCTTCCCTGCACCCCCATACTCCATCTGCAGGGATTCACCCAAGGGGTCCCCTGAACAGGACCAACTCCGTAACTTGTGAGGCCCAGTGCAGAATGAAAATGCAGCCTCTCGTTCCAAAATGAAGAATTTCAAGATGATCACAGCACGCGTTAAACCAGGGCGGGACCCCTCTGAGCACGGGGCGCTGTGCTCAGGGTGCAGCCTGGGAAGCCGGCCCTGACCACCCCATCTCCTTTGTGTGCCTGTAATCCCTCCACCTGCAGTGCTGGCCCCTCTGCCTGCGGGACAGCCTGGGCTCCTCAGGCCATGCCAGCCTCCAGGGCTACAAAACTGGAGCTCCCAGCCTCAGCCCACTTACCTATGAAACGCCTGGCCGGCTGAGCTCAGGGCGTGGAGCTGGTAGGCAGCCTGGTCTGCAAGTGTGCTGGGCCCTCCCCCACTCTTTGAGCTGCTCCCCTTCTCTGAACACTGGGGATTTGGGTCAGTTCTGGGAGCACAGTTGCCTTTCCAGCCTGCCGGGCAGTGGGGCGCTGATGCTGTGTGTGTGTGTGTGTGTGTGTGTGTGTGTGTGTCTGGACTCATGGAGGGGTCCCTTTCCATCTCCTTGCTCTGCACCAGGCTGGGGGACTGCAGAGGTGAGGGGATCTCATCTGAACAGCTGCTTATTCCTGAGGGATGGCCCGGGCTGTGCCCCTAAAGCCAAGCTGACTTGGACACGGCAGGAGGGGTCCCAGGCACTCATGGGCAAAGCTGGTGAGGCTCAGATGTGGAGGAACAGAGTCTCCTGGCCGGCTGCAAGGTGGACTCAGGGAACAGCTGAGCCAGGGAGTCACCCTAGGCCTGGGGTCACTGTGGGCCCATGTGGCACCCTGGTTCCTCTGCCTGTAGGTGGGAGGAGCCAGCCCGGCCAGGTGTGCTCCCTCCCCAGGCCCTGGGCAGGGGGGTGCAGGGGCCAGCAGCTGCGCCCGCCCCACCCTCCTTCCCACCCACATGCCGAAGGGTGGCCGGGCAGGCAGGTGGGCGAGTCCGGGCGGCGGCTGAGTCAGTGTGCAAGGAATGTTCTGGCCGCTCCCAGCTGCACCCTGCCCCTACCTGCCCCCACCTCACCTTTGTCCCCAGGCGCTGCGGCCCTGAGCCTCTGCCAGGAATGCACCTTCAGCCCAGGCCTGCTCAGTGAGCCCCTGACAGCCAGCCCTGCTCCTCCCCCCAGGAGCCTGCAGACCCCTGTGGGCTTCCAAGTGGCTTACCATGGGGGGCCCCAGCTGTGGGGGGTCCAGGGGTAGGGGCAAGGAAGTGATGGGACCTCAGAGATGAGAACTCCCAGGGATGAGATGTGACCCCCAGGCAGGGCCCAGGGTCCAAGGCCCAGGAGAGAGAGGCAGGGAAGCAGAGGGCTTCCTGGTGGAGGAGGCATCCTACAGTGGGGGCAAGTGTGCTCTGAGGTCCAGTGAAGGCAGGGACCCAGCTGCCCAGGCCCTGCCTGTCTGGCTGGGGCTGGGGGCTGGGGGGAGGTGGCCAGGAGGCCGGGCCTGGGCAGCCAAACTGGAGCCTTGGCCAGGGTCCAGCGCCTCCCTCCCTTCAGCTTCCTGCCTCGCAGAACCCTCGCCCCTGGCCACCCCGGGCTGCCTCCTTGCCCAGGCAGACCCAGCGCTGGCTGCTGCCAGGCAGATGGGGTAGTGGGCAGGGGTTGGAGGGGCCACCCTCCCAGCTGACCCAGCCTCCTGGACCATTTCCTCTAAGCCAGCAGGGCAGAAAGATGGGGCACTCGCCAGACTCCCCCAGTGTCCCAGCCCCAGCTGGCACCACAGCTCTGTCCGGGCTCATTCCAGACCTCATCGCCGGGACCCCCTGTGAGTTGTGGGACTCCCAAATGGGGTGTGGGGATAGCCAGCCAAGTGGGCGCTGCAGCCGTCCCCCCATGCGCTGAGCCTGGCCTCCACCTCAGGGCCCAACTGGGCTGGCACAGCTGGCGCCTTTGCCTCGGGCGTCCCCCTCCTCTCCGGCCTCCTCTCCGCTGTCTGCTGCTGCTGCCGCTGCCACAGGAAGAAGCCCAGAGACAAGGAGGCCGTGGGCTTGGGCAGTGCCTGGGGCACGACCACCACCTGCCTGGTGAGGAGCGGCTCCTCTCCCAGTCAGTCCAGAGAGGGCAGCTTGAAATCCAGGCTCCAGGGCCCAGGACAGCTGAGTGGGCTCAGCCCCAGGGACACTTTACTCCCCCCGAAACAGGGGTGACGAGGGCCTTCCTGGCAGGCAAAGTGGGTGGACAGAGGTGAGGAGGAGGCAGCATGAGAGGGGCGGCTCCATGGGCCAGCGGGAGCCACAGCAGGTTCTTGAGGAAGGCCGGGGTGAACAGACACCACGTTTGGGGTGGGTTTGGTGGGTCTCACAGAGCGAAGCTGAGGGTTTGTGCCTGCCGGGTGGCCTGCCCGGAGGTGGGGGTCTTGACCCATGTCCTGCAAATGCTGCCGGGAGCCCAAGGCTCCGATGGGGCATTGGCGGCAGCAGCACCTGGCCCATGTCCCGACCCACCAGGTGCAGCCGGATGTGGAGAGTCTGCAGCCCAGCCCGGCGGCCGCTCCGCCATGGGGGCGCCTGCAGCTCTCCCTGGAGTACGACTCTGGAAGGCAGGAGGTGAAGGGCCCCAGGTTCTGCGAGTTTCCGGAGAGGGTGACGGGTGAAGGGCCCACCCTGTGCCCTGGGTGGTGGGCAGGCCCCTTGGCTGAGCCCACTCCCCTGGCTCCCGGATCCGGGTGGGCCTGAGGCAGGCAGCCGACCTGAGGCCCGGGGGCACCGTGGACCCCTATGCCCGGCTCAGCATCTCCACCCAGGCTGGGCACAGGCACGAGACAAAGGTGCACCGAGGCACACTCTGCCCCGTGTTTGATGAGACCTGCTGCTTCCATGTGAGTCAGGGCTGGGCGGCTGGGCGGCTGGGGGGGACTGGGCGGCTGGGTGGCTGGGCAGCTGGGGCGGCTGGGCTGGGGCAGAGGGCCTGGCTCTTGCCACTGCCTCAGGTCCCGCAGGCGGAGCTGCCAGGGGCCACCCTGCAGGTGCCGCTTTTCCACTTCAGGCGCTTCTCGGGGCACGAGCCCCTGGGTGAGCTCCGTCTGCCACTGGGCACCATGGATCTGCAGCACGTTCTGAAGCAGTGGTACCCCCTGGGCCCGCCAGGTGCCACCGAGGTGAGGCATTAATCACCAGGCTCCAGCCCCTCCTGCAGCCCGAGGCAGAGCTGGCAGGGACCCTGCCCTGTGGGACATGGGAGGGACTGAGGCCTGATGGGCAGCAGCTGTGGGGGCCTGAACCCCAGCTTGGCCAGAAGGGCCCTCCGGAGCTGACGCCCTCTCGATGCCTGCAGCCTGAGCAGGTCGCGGAGCTGTGCTGCTCCCTCCAGTACGTGCCCGGCTCAGGCCGGCTAACCATGGTGGTGCTGGAGGCCCAAGGCCTGCGTCCAGGACTGGTAGGTGAGGGTCACACGTGCCCACGCTGGTGCACAACGGTGGGACCCTGTGCTCAGCCCCAGCCCGGGTCAGCGTCTCCACCTCCGGCCCCTCTTGCCTGTCCAGAGCCCTACGTGAAGGTCCAGCTCATGCTGAACCAGAGGAAGTGGAAGAAGAGAAAGACAGCTGGCAGAAAGGGCACGGCTGCCCCCTACTTCAACGAGGCCTTCACCTTCCTGGGGCCCTTCAGCCAGGTCCAGGTGGGCTGCCGGGAGGCAGGGACAGATCGGGACCCAGTGCCAGACCCTGCTGACCACGGTCTTTCTCCCCCAACCCCGCCCCGTGCTCTGTCTCTGCACAGAATGTGGACCTGGTACTGGCCATCTGGGACCGCGGCCCGCAGCTCGGGGCCGAGCCGGTGGGCAAGGTGCATCTGGGTGCCCGGGCCTCGGGGCAGCCCCTGCAGCACTGGGCGGACATGCTGGCCCACGCCCGGCAGCCCGTGGTCCAGTGGCACCCCCTGCGGCCGGTCAGGGAGGTGGACCGAGCGCTGGCTCCGCAGCCCCGCCTGCCCCTGCCCCTGCCCCGCTCCGGAACACACCATGGGCCTCGGTCTCCCCGCTGAGCCCGGCCACTTGCCCAGGCTGCCCTGCAGGACCATTGCAATAAACGCCTTCTCCTGCCACTGTGTGTCCAGCTGGAACCTGGGGGGACGCAGACACAGGGCCTGGTTCCACTCACCAGGGCCCCCCACAAGGACAGGGGAGGGGCTGCTCTCCAGGCTCAGCCGGGCCCTGAGGTCTCTGACCCATCCCTGCTGGACCGCCGGGTAGGAGTGAGGAACCTCCCCAGGAGCACAGATTCCCCACCCCCCCCCACACTCTGGCTCCCCACCACCCCATCACCTCCTGGGCCACCTGGGAAGACCGGGGAGGTGGGTTCCAGAGAGTCAGGCCAGCTGGGATGGGGCGGGTGGGAGGCAGCCTTGTAGGGACACAGCTCGGCCGGGCCTTCCCGCGTGAGCAGCAGGGGGCAGCAGATGCCTTCGGAAGCCGCCGAGGCCTGTAGGGGCTCCGCCCTGGCCGCTTCCCCTCTCCGTCCCCCACACATCTGGGCTGCCTTAGCGGCTGGAGCCTCCACGCTGCTGTCTCCTCTGATCCTCCCCACGGGGCTGGGGCCAAGAGCCCCCGCTCCGAGAGGGTGCCAAGTCACGGTCCCGGGGCCTCTGCAGGGTGGGGGCTGCGGAGCTGGGGGGGAACAAGGGCCTCGGGCCTGGGTGAGAAGGGCAGTGCCGGGCCTGCCCGGGCAGCCAGGCGGGCCCCAAGCCCCCTCGGGTCAGAAAGGCTCCCAACGCGGGTGGCGCCACCCTCCTTAGGCTGAAGGATGTGTTCCAAGTCTCCGGAGGGGACTGTGGCAAGGCGTTCCAGGCAGGCTGGGAGGGGCGCAGCGCATGTACAGCGAGCCCCTCATTCCCAGTCCTGCTCCCCAGGCAGGAAGACGGCTTCACGCAGGGAGGGGGGGCCCCCAGCCCTCGGCCGCTGTGGCAGGGCCTGGGAGGCCTCACCCCAGGAGCCAGGCTTGCAGAAGGGGGTCAGGCGTGGGCTGAAGGGGGGACCGGCCCACTGCAGGGGCCCAGTGGGGGAGCTGGCCAGCAGAGAGGCTGTGGCTGAGCCCAGCAGGCAGCCCGGTTGGTGAGCTGATGCTGACCTCGGGCGAGGTGGGGTGAGGTGCGCATCCTTGAAGGGTAACCCCTCGGCCGACCTGAGCTGTGTGCCCGGCCGACGCCCCAGGCAGAACCAGGCACCAGTGTCCTCAGGCTCCTTACAAGAACCGCAGAGGCGTCTCCAGCACGTCACTGAGCCCTAAATAGAGCCGCCCAGCCGCGGCGCCTCACCAAGACTTCTTGGACTGGGCGGCAGCACGCGGCCAGGCCAGGCGGCCGGACAGGTGGGGAGGTCTCTGTGGCTTCCTCGCCCCCATTGGTCTGAGGAGGACTTCATGCCCTTTCTGAGCAGGGGCCCAGCCTGGGGGAGGCCATTTATACCCCTCCCCCTGGGCCCACCAGCCCAACTCGCCACTGCCGGCCTGACCTCACGCCCAGCCCTGCTGCCCAGATTCTAGGTGAGGCCCGGCCCGGCCCGCCGAGGCCAGGGGACAGGGCATGGCTTGAGCTAGTTTGAGGGAGGATGCCCTGAGGCCGGGGTCTGGGGGTCGGGGGGATGCCACCAGCAGCCTCCTTTGGGGGCCTTCACAGACCGGGGAATGAGAGGGAGAGGCTTGGGGAGGCAGCTCTGGCTCCAGGCAGGCCCTGACGACCAGGCTTCACCTCTGGGGACCCTGGAAGGAGAGTTTAGGAGTCAAGAAACCCCCGAACCTGAGCCCCCAGGCCACACTGAGGAGCGGTCCTTCCACGCACTTAGGCCCAAAGCCAAAGACGGAGGGTTAAAAATAACAGCGTCGCTCAGGCGGCCACCTGCGCTGGCCCGTCCCCCCCCCTCCCTCAGGGACAGCTGCAGCTCCTCAGGCTATGCCTGGGACATTTTGGGAACACTTTCTCCTCTTACTTCTCACCCTGGGGAATTCCAAGACATTGTCCTTGAAGGAGGTCAGAGTACGGGGTGGGGCGGGAGAGGGGCATCAGCGGGAGGCCTGCACCCTTTACCAGCTACTGGGCGAAGGTGTCGTGGTAGCCAGGCCCGGGCAACACCTCTGCCTTCCTCTCCCCACAGGCTCCAAGCTCAGGACCTCAGGATGGGAGAGTAAGTGTACCCCCACACACTGCCCCTGCCACCTCCCGCCCCGTCCACCCCATCACAAATCCCACCCCTATGGCCATGGCCCTAACCTCTCTCTTCTCTCCCCGCCCGGCCTGCGTTCTCCCTCCCTGGACAGTGAGGAGGTAAGTACTTGCTGGGGCACAAACATGGTGGGGAGGGGCTCCCCCAACTTGGGATAGGTCATAGGTTGCAGCCTCAAGGCCCTGAGACCCTCCCTGCTGGCAAAAGTGCCCCATCCACCCACCAAGAGAGGAAGTGGCTGCGCCATGCCTTCTGGGCAGGGCAAGTGTGGCTGTGGCCTGGTCACAGGGAATCACTTCTTCTTTCTGATTCCTGCACTTCCCGCCCCCACCTTGCCAGCCGAGCTACCCCAGACTGGCCCTGTGGCCTGACTCCTCTTCCCCAGCCCCTGCCCCCCAGCACATGTACCACCTGGGCAAAGTGTCACGCACCACACAGCGCCGTGTCCCAGAGCGAGGTCTGGGCCCGGGGAAGGCCCAGCCTCCCCATCACGGTCTCGGGAGCCCCCAGGCTCCGCTGGTCCCTGGGCAGGAGCCCCCGACCTGGCCAGGGAGTATGGAAGGGGGTGGGGGGGGTCCAGGCTTGGAGGCCCTGACTCTGTCCCCTGTCCCTGCCATGCAGAAGCGGAACAGGGCCATCACGGCCCGCAGACAGCACCTGAAGGTAGGTGTGGGCACCTGAGGGGTTGTCCGGGTGGGTCTGCGGGGGTGGGGGAGCCGGCCGCAGCCCCTCACTGCCTGTCCCGCCACAGAGCGTGATGCTGCAGATCGCGGCCACGGAGCTGGAGAAGGAGGAGAGCCGCCGCGAGGCGGAGAAGCAGAACTACCTGGCGGAGCACTGCCCGCCGCTGCACATCCCGGGCTCCATGTCTGAAGTGCAGGTACTGCCCCCCCACCGCAGCCAGCCTGCCTGCTGCCTCAGTTTCCCCACTTGTCAAGAGGGCCAGCGGGTGGTCAGGGCAGGGGCCGGTGACGGTGGCGGCCAAATGTCAGGATGGCCGCCCTCCCCCACGCCCACCCCCAGGAGCTCTGCAAACAGCTGCACGCCAAGATTGACGCGGCCGAAGAGGAGAAGTACGACATGGAGGTGAGGGTGCAGAAGAGCAGCAAGGAGGTGAGTGGTGGCGGCGGGCAGCGGCCCCCCCAGGCGGGTGGGCGGACAGGCAGGGAGCTGAGGCCACCAGGACCTCGGGCCCCACCTGGCTCCCGTGCCCACAGCTGGAGGACATGAACCAGAAGCTGTTCGATCTGCGGGGCAAGTTCAAGCGACCCCCGCTGCGGAGGGTGCGCATGTCGGCCGACGCCATGCTCAAGGCCCTGCTGGGCTCCAAGCACAAGGTGTGCATGGACCTGAGAGCCAACCTCAAGCAGGTCAAGAAGGAGGACACAGAGAAGGTGCGTGCCACAGGGGAGCACCACCCACGCCTGCCCTGCTGGGGAAGCACCTCCCACTCCTGCCCCGCTGGGGGAGCACCACCCACGCCTGCCCTGCCGGGGGAGCACTACCCACACCCGCCCTCTCCCTGGGGAGCACTTCCCACACCTGTCCTGTCTCTGGGAGCACCACCCACACCCACCCTGTCTCTGGGGAGCACCATCCACACCTACCCTGCTGGGGGAGTACCTCCCACACCCACCCTGTCTCTGGGGAGCACTTCCCACACCCACCTTCTCCCTGGGGAGCACCTCCCACACCTGCCTTGTCCCTGGGGAGCACCTCCCACACTCGCCCTGCTATGGGTCCGCACTGCCCTGCCAGGTGCCCTGCACCACTGCTCCTCCAGGGTGCTGTGCAGGGGACACTCTACTGCCCAATGCAGAGGGGAACCTGAGGCTGAAGGTGGTGTGGACCAGGGTGTGTGAGTGGCTGGGTGGGCCTGAGCTCTCTCCCGCCCCACCCCAGGAGCGGGACCTGCGAGACGTGGGTGACTGGAGGAAGAACATCGAGGAGAAGTCGGGCATGGAGGGCCGGAAGAAGATGTTTGAGTCGGAGTCTTAGGCTCCTCGTCGGCCCACGCCTGCCCGGGGCCAGCTCCCAGCAGAACACTCCGGGGGCATGCCCCAGAGCCTGCCACGGAGGGCTGGCCTCATGTCCACTGTCAATAAAGGATCTGAATCCCCATGGCTGGTCTGGTCTGGCTCTCCCCAGCCTCATTGGCTGTGCTCTGGGCCCTGGCCTCGGTGGCCTGCTGTATGGTCAGGGGCCTGAGGGTTTCAGCCGGGGAGGGAGGCTGCTTCCAGCAAGGAGCTGCGTCCGGGAAGGCCCTGCAGGGGAATCCACCCACTTGGGGAACGTGGAGGGGCGTGCCTGCACAATGGGCCATGGGATCTGGGCCTTGGGATCAGCACGGTACTGGGGGCTGGCCCGGTCTCTGGTCCTTACTGCCACCCTGAAAGCGGTCTGTGTCACTCTTCACCACACCAGGGGACCAAGAGGCCTATGCCCACCAGCGACCGCGCCCAGGCCCCAGTGTGGCCCCAATTCTCCTTTCCACTCGGCCCCAAGACCCTAGCCCCATCTGGCTGCCAAGGACAGGGCTCTGACAGGCTCTGACAAGGCTGGTGACAGCAAGGCCGCCTTGTATCAGTCCCGCTCTTTGAAGGCTGCCAGAGCAGGCACGCCAAGGTCCCCCTGCTCAGATCTTCACTGAGGAGACTGCCAGCCCGCGCTCTGCCCTTGCCCTCTGGAGGTCCCGCTGATTGATCTGCCGGAGGTACGACGTGCAGCGGCAGTTCCGCCTCGGGCTGCCTTGAGGACTGACGTCAACGGGCGCCCGGGATGGCCTTGGCCCCGCCCCGCGGGCATTCTCCAGCCCTGGCATTCAGCTCTGACCTTTACTGCAACTGAAGCCCCACACCAGGCTGAACCCCCACCCGGGACTTCTCCT